TGACGTAGTATTGAGAGCCTCCAAGAGATGTCCTAAAGAATGTCCCCACACATCTGTGTACAAGATTCAACTTTCCTACCTTTGGCGTTCCACCGTTTTTTAAGAAACTGAGCTTCTTCTGTTTCCACATAATGCAACTCTCACACATGCTGAGATCAACTAACTTTAGTTCTGGTAGCTTACCTCTGAACTGAAGTTCTTTCATACCCTTTTGACTCATGTGGTCAAGTTTGCAATGCCACAACTCTGTTGTGCTCTCTATAACAGTAGTATCAATACTGTTAATTAAACCAGTCGTCATATATAGCGTATCTGTTTTTTTATCCTAAGCCAGTATTAGTGCTATTTTAGTAATCTTCAAGTTGTTATCTGAGAACAATACTGAATGTCTGCACTCATCAAGCTGCCCAACAAAAATGAGATTCTACTTCAATTTAAGAATGTTTCTGACCTTTTGTAGGGTCCATTTGTTCTTATTTGGAAATGCAATGTCAATGTCTCTCATTCCTACCACATTCAAAGCTTTTCCATCTGTCAGATATATTTCCTCAAAGTCACTTGCAACATAATTTTGCATCAATTTCCGATGGAAAGTTGTATGAAAAGAAGCCACTAAATTCAGTATTCAGTCATCAACAGAACTATGAACCGTCAGCAGTAGTGCATCATGTGCTTCTTCAGTTGCCACATTTGCGCTATCATTCTCTTTCTTCTTGGGATTTCTGTAGTTTCTCTTTATGTGGCTAGTTTTGTCACAATTCGAGCAAGTTACTTTTATACCAGATCTTGAATTGCTTCTACCTCTGTGCTTTAATTTTGATCTTCATCTGTTTGAGTTTTTATCTTATGATCTCCCTTTGAAATCAACATTTAATGTTGAACTCGAACCTGAGGTCTTGCCAGAATCTTTCCTGCATACCTCCTCGGCCAAAATCAAATCACAAATTTTATCATATTTTAGTTTAGATTTACCTGTAGAATTACTGTGATATCCAAATGCATCATCTCCATAACCAATGAAATAACACTTCTTTGACTTAGTCTCAAGTTTACTTCAAGCATCAGGATTAATTAGAACATAAGAATGACATCCAAAAGTTTTAAGGTGAGTAAATTTGACATTTTTCCCACTCCAGACCTCCTCAAGCAATTCACAGTTTAATGGAACAGATGACAATCCGTTGATCAAATAAACTGCAGTGTTGATCGCTTTTGCCCATAAAGTAGGTGGTGGTCTGATGTGCAATCTCATGTTTCTAGCCTGCTCATTAATGATCTTGTTCATGCGCTCTGCAACATCATTTTGTTGTGATGTCCTTGGAATGGTCGTCTCCATTCTGATGCCCTAAGCTGCAAAATACTTGAACCCACCATCAATGTACTCACCACAATTATTTTAGCTTTAAGCTTGTCTCTGTTTCAACCACAACCTTCCAATTCTTGAACACACTAAATACATCAGATTTATGCTTCAAAAAATAAACTCATACATTTCTACTATGATCATCAATGAATGTGACGTAGTATTGAGAGCCTCCAAGAGATGTCCTAAAGAATGTCCCCACACATCTGTGTACAAGATTCAACTTTCCTACCTTTGGCGTTCCACCGTTTTTTAAGAAACTGAGCTTCTTCTGTTTCCACATAATGCAACTCTCACACATGCTGAGATCAACTAACTTTAGTTCTGGTAGCTTACCTCTGAACTGAAGTTCTTTCATACCCTTTTGACTCATGTGGTCAAGTTTGCAATGCCACAACTCTGTTGTGCTCTCTATAACAGTAGTATCAATACTGTTAATTAAACCAGTCGTCATATATAGCATATCTGTTTTCTTATCTTAAGCCAGTATCAGTGCTATTTTAATAATCTTCAAGTTGTTATCTGAGAACAATACTGAATGTCTGCACTCATCAAGCTGCCCAACAAAAATGAGATTCTACTTCAATTTAAGAATGTTTCTGACCTTTTGTAGGTTCCATTTGTTCTTATTTGGAAATGCAATGTCAATGTCTCTCATTCCTACCACATTCAAAGCTTTTCCATCTGCCAGATATATTTCCTCAAAGTCACCTGCAACATAATTTTGCATCAATTTCCGATGGAAAGTTGTATGGAAAGAAGTTCAAGAATCAAGTATCCAGTCAGCAACAGGACTATGAACTGTCAGCAGTAGTGCATCATGTGATTCTTCAGTTACCACATTCGCACTGTCATTCTCCTTCTTCTTAGGATTCCTGCAGTTTCTCCTTATGTGGTCAGTTTTTCCACAATTCCAGCAAGTTACTTGTTTATCAGACCTTGATTTGCTTCTGCTTCTGTTCTTTGATTTTAATCTTCCCCTGTTTGAGTTACTGCCATGTGACCTCCCTCTGGAATCAACATTTAATGCCGAACTCGAACCTGAGATCTCGCCAGAATCTTTCCTGCGCACCTCCTCAGCCAAAATCAAATCACGAATATCTTCAAATTTCAATTTAGATTTACCTGCAGAATTACTGAC